AAAAGAAAAGAAAAGAAAAGAAAAGAAAAGAAAAGAAAAAGCAATTCCCACACCCCTGTTTTGTCTAGGTTAGGACTAAAGCATAGGACAACCCTTCTGTCAAGCAAACAGACCGAGCAGAGGCAAAGCTCTACCGATCAAGACACAAAGTTCCTCAGGAATGACATGTATGGTTTACACAGCACGCATAGCAATGGAAGTCCAATGCGAACACATACAACTAAGTTGCTTAAATGAGGTAAACTGTTTCAAAAGGGAAGATACGTTTAAAAATAAAGCCAGGTGGGCAGCAGGAGTCCTTAAAATGAGAAATGACTCACACCAACAGTTATTGCCTACCTCACAGGGGGAACATAATTAAGAAGGATTTAATTGCAGATGTACTGGAAAGAGGAAAGGCACCATGCACCCAAGTATTGTTTCCAGCCCCATTTTCAAACACCAAGAACCACAGCACCTAGTTCAGAGGCTGACAGAGCCAACCTGTAGCTAAAGCCCACAGGACAAATCTGGCCTGCCACCTATTTTTATAAATAAAGTTTGACTGCGTGAGAGCTACACATTCATTTACATTTTGTTTGTGGCCAATTTTGTACCTCACAACAGAGTTGAATACTTACTACAGAGGCCACCTGACCTGCAAGCCTACAATATTTACCATCTGTCTCTTAACCAAAAAAACTGTTAAATTAAAAAAAAAAAAAAAAAAATTGGGGCATCTGGGTGGCTCCATCGGTGAAGCGTCCAACTTCGACTCGGGTCATGATCTCACAGTTCATGGGTTCAAGCCCCACATCAGGCTCTCCACCGTCAGCCCGGAGCCTGCTGTGGATCCTCTGTCTCCCTCTCTCCCTGCCCCTCCCCCACTCCCTCACTCTCTCTCAAAAATAAACAAACGTTGAAAACAATTTTTTTTTTTAGTAAAGTAAAAATGTTTGTAGATTTAGTTTCTTTACTACAAATGTCAGATTATTAGCTGACACGGTTCAAATGTTTAACTCGAGGAATTAAAAAGAGAGACTTTCTGGACGTGATGAAAACACTGGTTTAAAAGATACCCTGGGTATGTCATGGGCCAGGACATGCACACTGACAGTGCAGGCTTCAGGGCCGAAGAGGTTTGACACTAAATCTCTTCAGAGAATGCGAAGACCTAGGCAAGATATTTAAGGCAGTTTCCTCACTTTGTATCATGGGCAAAATACCTAATCCCTGCCTGAGTCATATGTACAGCACCCAAAACCATTAATAGCAGCCAATAATAACCACTAAGCGTTAGCTCCTTCCATGTATATACTAAACTGGGACTTTCGTTTACCCCTAATGATCTGCATTAACCCTCAGTCTTTAAAGGGAAGCATTCTGTCACTAGGAAACCCTGTCGTGCGACGGACCCCACTGCCTTCTCTGTCCAACACGTATTTACCCATCTGGAATGTCCCCACCACTTTTCTAAAGTAACGTCCATATGGAACCTGAGCCCATGAGTTCTACAAGAACAGCTCTGACCTCGGAGATCGCAGGACACAAACACACTCACACAAATGCATATGTGCGTACACAGCTTTGCCTGAAAACCCACCACTCCAACCCAGCGACCGCACTTTCCAGTCCCAGAATAAGAACTCTATTATCCTATCCCCTTCGAGACTTTTTTGATTTCTAAAGATCACTTTGCGGTCTTTGTCTTCCCAAATGAAAGCATACTATTTGTTTGTAGTCAGTTCTCATTTCAGAGCCCGTAAAGCCACTTCTAACCTTGCTGGTGAAAACTGAACACAGTCCACGTAAACTACAAGCTCTGGATGACAACGATGTTAATGAGGTCACTGTTGCAAAGGTCCCAGTCTGCCGGGGGACACCGATAATGGAGGAGTGTGCACGAGCACAAGGCAGAGGGTGTGGGGGCAATCCCTGTACTTTCCCCTCCATCTTGCTACGGATCTAAAACTGCTCCTGAAAAAATGTCTTTTTTTAAAAAATAATAACAATAATAAATAGAGGATTAAAAAACAAAAAAACAAAAACCAGAACACGATGATTTTTCCCAGGACACTGCCAGTTTAGGTCTATCATCAGAGTAATTATTAACAGCACTCCCATCCACTCTCAAACATGCCCTGGGCTGCACGATAAATTATATGGTCACTCTACTCCAAAGCCTCAACTTCCCCCACCTAAAGAATAAATCAGTGCTTCAGAATCCACACCCAATAAATAACCAAGGGAAGGAAGTATGCACCGTCTTCCACCTCTTCCAAGATTTAGGCATTTGCCACCCAAAGTGTTAATATAAAGTTTCTTTTCATTCTTACAGTCTGCTGTTTACAATCCTCTTTTCTTTCCTCATTTTAGGATCTAGATGGTAACATTTTTTAAATCCCCATACACAGTAACAACCTGAACATATAGTTGAGAAATACACTTCTATACTCATTAGCATACTAGGTAGTTTATATAAAAAATTTGTAAGAATCTGGCAAATTTTGTACATAGTGTTTTCTGTGGAAAAGATATTAAGCGTAAACATGGGGGGGGAGGGAGTCTGAAAAATAAGGCAAAATATTAATTGTGATATTTCGGTGGTGACACTAGGTGAACACATTCTTTGTCTGTGTCTCTGTGTTTTCCAGCTTTACTGAAAATGAATCTGTACTGGGTTTCTCATGAAAGACTCACGTGTAGACCAAGAACAAGATGTTCAGACGGAAGCTGAAGTGAATATACAGGGGACGCACCCAAACTTGAATAAACCCGAAACTGCTATGCTATCTAGGTACAGCCTGTATAACATGAGGCACTTAAGGAAGGCACAGAACACCCAGGGCGCTCCTGGGATAAAGGGACTGTCCTTTGCGTACGCAAAGTACTTGTAATGTCATCAGTGGCAAGAGGTTTCTAGAGTTCAAGGTGGTGTTAGAGTAATGGTTCTTACCCAGGTTTAAGCTTGAAGAGGATCCATGTGAAGAGAGGGAAGGAGGTGGTGTCTGTGAATGTCCTGGTCCCTGACTAGGGAGAGGCATGCCCACGGGTCCAGGAGAGGAGGAAAAGCTAAGGCCGTTATAAAAACTGTGTCCAATGGGGGTCAAGCTGCTCGATGTCCTCTTATAAAGGTCACTGCTGCCAGTCAGGGAGTCACGGCGGGAGCCACTGCCAGTGTTGGAGTTTGCAACTAAAATGGAATTAAAACAATGCAGATAAGAAAAGGCCTGTTCTTTGAAGAACAAGCCCAGTGACCTGTTCCTAACACTTTGATCCAGACTCCTTACCACCGCAAATCTGTCAGCAGAGACAGCCTAACTGTTCATGTGGCAGTTCTAGGGGCAGGTAAAGTAATAAAGAGGACATGGCTCGGTTTAACATGAAACTTTTGTTCAAACCATCACACGAATGCTAAATTTACCTTCCTTTGGTGTCACATATTATGGGGTGGGGATGGGTTAAAAAGCTCTGACGGCCACATAAGCTATGGAAAAGGTGAAAGAAAATGGGCTAGAAAGAATGCCTTTCATCAACCCAAAGGTTCTAGTAGAAAAATGGAGTACAGAAAAAAAAAGATTTGTAAATGGGGTATCGTCCCCCTACACAAGACTTACATATGAAAGCCTGTTTTCTCAATGGGTTCGATCAAGAGTTACTGCTAGCCCCCAATTCCAATTGAAGATTCTCACTCTCAAACATGCCCTGCTCTTCGGAGATCACATGGTTTTACAAACACTGCAATTATCCCACTGTTTCCCTTACTCCTTCCCTGCTTTTCTCTCCCATCAAAACATTAAAAATATCTTGGTCTAATTTCCGCCTTCCCACTTTGCCATAATATCCACCTTAATTCTTCTCAGAAGACTGGAGAAAATTCCTGACTCTTCAAGGCCTGCAGACTGTGGGGTACGCTACCCTGTGGTCTTTGGTAAGTCCTCCTCCCTCAGTTTTTAGTGTCCACATTTCTACGCTTCCCTCCACGTTCTTCCCAATGCCTGAAAAAAATCGCCCCTGGTTTTCCGATCCCTGAAACAAATCGACTCTGAGAGTATAAATAAGTAGCAACATAAGCATAAAACTGAAATCGGCCCCAACCCTAAAAACTTGATTTTAACAGTCCATCATCTCAGATATGTGGGACGGCCGGCTTCCCACAGGGGTCGGTCCAGATCTGCCTGGGGCATCTGTCCAGGATTCCATGCACTGTCAGTGTTCCATAAAGATTGTAAAAATAATTACAATTCAGTTTTAACAGCACATAAAGTCTGATTTCTACCTGCGGTTCCAAACCCTCCAAGGGCTGATCCCAGGGTGGCGCCGAGAGAACTGCTACTTCCAAATCCCAAGGACGTGTTGGCAGGCTGGGCTGAGCCCTGGGAGAAGAGGGAGCTGCTCTGTGAGTTGCTGCTCAGAGAGTTGTTGCCATAGAAAGAGCTGGACGCCAGGCTGTTACTGGGCTGCTGCTGGGGCTGGGGCTGGGGCTGCTGGGTTCCTAAAGGGCGAAACGGTCCATTTGTTGTTCCAGCAAGACCACCGGCTGCTCCATTTGCTGAAGCTGCGGCCGCTGCAACAGCTACGAAGAAGAAAGCAAACCATTGGGCTATGAAAGGGACTGGCCGCATTCCCCCAGCCACGGTGTCATCCTTCCGAAAACCCCGTAACGCCGTCCTATCTCTTCGAAGTGGACGTGAGCCTCGTACACAACTACGCAAATCTGCCTTCGATCCCTTCATCTGAAGCTTCTATTTTCTATTTCTGCTTCCAATGTGAAGTCAAAATACCACCGAAGCCAAATTCACTATGGTGGCAGCTTTAAGGAGTCTGCAGTTTAAAACAGGTACAGATGTCAAACGTAGCTGTTTTAACTACAACTACTTCCTCAAATCTCAAGTTCCACAAATATCATCGTTGAGGACTTTTCCAGAACCACTGTCATCAATATACTCAAGTCCCTCGAATTCCTAAACATGTTGCTCTCTTCTAGATGTTTCCGCCGTTGCTCCTAATTTACATTCCTAATATATATACACACACACACACAAAGCCTAAAACAAAAACCTATGTATCGTTTATCCCCCATCAAAATGTATTGCTCTGCCACTTCTCACTACTCCCTCCGTCCCGCCTCCACCCCGAAAAACAAAAACAACATATTTAAAAAAAAAACATTATCTGAAAATAATGAAAATAAGGACATGGATTTCTGTGAAATCAGCCTTGGACTGCTGCCAACGGTGCCGTTGTGCGTGAGTAATCCAACTTCCTATGTTCACGGTGGAGCAGGTCCTTGCTGCTAACCAGCTGGCACATGGCTGTCAACAGAATCTATCGAGGTCACTTGCTGCTTCTGCTTTTTCTCTTTGAAATATTACAGGGCAGAATTGCTATATCGAGAACTGTCAAATGAAGTACATTTCAACAGACTGTAAGAACATCGTCCGTCGCCCATTTTGGATCTCTGACAGGAGTTCACGGAGCGGGAAGCTCACCTGCTTGAGCGGCTGAGGAACTGATGATGACTGGGGCGGGAGCGACCAGCCGCACAGGAGCCCCGAGACCGTTTCTCGCCCCTGCGTTCACCACGAGGGCACCCGTTTGGTCATAGTAAGCAGCAGGAGCCAAGACCGGATAACCTGGGAATGTCAAGCCACATGTGAGTAGACAGGAAGCTACCAGGGCCTCCTGGGCGCTAGCAGACTGTAAACAGTCACAGATTTGACCGTGGGGACCGACAGACGCAGATTTCTATCCTGGCTTCACTACCTGGACAGCGGTATGACCCTGAATCTCTGCACATCCCATTTCCCCAGTGACGATGATAAGACTACCTGCCTCATAAAAGTCTTGAGACGATCAGAGGAGGAATGCGAAAGATCTCGCATGGTGTCTGGCACAGAATGGTACAGTATTATTCATCATCCGCTAAGTGTCAGAAAGGGAATTCGGCGGGCCAGGGAAACCTGCGCTCTTCCAAGTGCCAACCAAGGTTACCACCAGAAATCATACCCTGACAATTTTTTTTACAGTTTCCTCGACTACGAAAATAACAGAGAGTATCAACGATTACAACGTAGTACTTCCATACCTTGTAACAGTCTAAGCACAAATACCCTGCACGTTACCAGGTAAAACCTAGACACACTTCAAATAATAGGATCTTTCAGCACCTCATGGAATCTCCAAATGCTATTGAGCCACAGGAGAAATTACAGGTGACCTCCCAATAAAAGCTGAATGCTTAGTAACTCGTACAACAAATGATGCAGGTTAAAGTTACTCGGTGAATTCCTAAGTAGTTCAGTTAATGTGGCTACGCTCCATGATCAGTAAGAATCCATAAATTTATGCTGAGGTCTCACAAGGACCTGTTTCAAAGGAAGAAGCACAAATTACTTCCAACCTGTGCAAAGAACAGGACCAGGTGACAGTGAGCCAAGAATAACCTCTGCTCGAGGTGAAGATCAACCACAGGTAGGGAACCACAAAGCACCTCTGCTGTCGGCTCAGGAGAAATCCCAGAAACGTAAGGGATGGCCCCATCGAGGAACACTAGGAACTTCTTCCGTGATACTGTTCAAAGACATCAGCACAAAGACTAAAACCTGGGAGTGATGCTAAAGTAGCCTGCCCACTCCTTCCATCATCCCCAGTCCCAAGGGACAGAACAGATCACCACCAAAGGACAACGGCATACTCCAAGCAGTGTGTGGAGAGACACATGTAAGATTAAGACTGGCTCAGAACAATCAGGTGCTCTCGTCAACGACGATGGTCTCAGTGAGGGCAAGTGTATGTCATCCCCGCCAGTCCCCAAATCGTGACAAGTCTGCTACGCAAGCTGAAAGCACCGCCTGTTTTCCTCTCAGTCTCCCCCAACAAGCAGACTGTTTTTTCCCTCAAAGCATGAGGAACAACAATGCAGCCTCACCTGGCATGCCTGCAGCCAGTCCTTGTCCAAAAGCAAGGGCAGAATTCACTGCTGCAGCTGCCACCAGTGGATCTGTTTGCTGTCCCTGCTGGTTCTGATTTGGGGTCAAAGGACGCTGGCTGGCTCCTCCACGGAGAACCTGGGAGACAGAAATAAATCAACCACTTTCTTCTCATTGGAAATACCTAAGACCCACCGTGTGCTTAAGTTGGGTCAACTTTTTTAAATTGGTAGTTGTAAACCATTTCTCCTATAATGTTTTATATGGCATGGCTGTTAGGATAAAAGTTCAATTAACAACATTTCATTGAATGAAATCTCATTCTACCACTCTTAAACATTATTACCTTTACAAGCAGCCAAAAGCCTATAAAAGTGAGGATTCATTAATCAAATACTTCATGCCGTCCATCTGGCAGGTACTAGAGACAAGGCAACGAACAAGACAAACAAAGCCCCTGCCCTCTTAAAGCTTTCATTCCAGTGAACGAAGACAGATAACTAAGTCTAAACACGGTGTCAGTGCTCTGACAAAAAGTACGTCAAGGAGGAGGAGGAGGATGGAGTGGGAAGGGGAGTTTAGATAGGTAAACAGAGGTAATGTACCCACATAATTAGACTAAAATAGCTGTGTCTAAAGGGGAACACACACACACACACACACACACACACACACCCCAAAAAGTCTGTATTTCCTTTATAGAATATAAGAACATCTTCTCTACCCTATAACACTATTGGTATTCAACAAGGCCCAAATGGTCCCGAATGAGCTCACCAGGACTGGATTTAGGAGGCCTCTGAGCTGTTTCTATTTCTCCTCTCATAAATTTCACAACAGACGGCAATCTAAATGGAGAGGTGTCAAGAGCACTGTCATTTCAGTACAGAACACCAGTTCTGCCACTGTGATGAAGGATCTACTTTTTATTAATGAAACATGGGCACCAAAATGCTGGTAATCATTCTTTTTCTGAATGCTCTGAAGAATCTACTCCACGTGATCTATATGCTCCAGTAAGTAAAAATGCAAAACACACAGACCGAGGCTAAAATTATAAAATGCGTTTTGCAATGTTTTCCAAAGGCAAAGTTCTTCTCGGATCACTTTCACTATCACTTTGCTATTTATAAAAGTTAGACATATGGTCAGGAACCTGGGTACAGATTATTCTTGGTACCACTGGGTAAACAATATAAAAGAGAAACACCACTAGCTATTTATTAAATGAGCATAAGAGAAACAACACCATCCACACTGGCAAGAAGAGATGTGTAGACAATTTACTCCCAGTCTCTTATTTCCTTCTCTGTAAAATTAGTTAAGGGTAACAGCTGATCCTGCAAATATGTTGGGAGCATTCGAATTAATTTCTGCAAGGCACAATACCTGGTACCCAGGAGATAATCAATAACCAATAGCTAATTACTATCAAAATATTTATTTGTGACCTAAGGAATCTAACAGACTTTCCAAGAGAAAGAGTGCTTTAATCCACACAGAAGAGTCAAAGGAGGTTGCCCAGGGGAGTGTTTGCACCAAGATCCAAAAGAGCTCTCACTCTAGGAAAAGTAAACAGCATGTACACATATATGGCAAATACTAATAGTTCAAGAACTAATACAACATCAATGAAACCATCATTATCATTGGGCATTATGAACTAGGCTTATGTGTGGTTAGGAGTTGTAGGAAAGGCCAGGGGACAGGGGAATGGACGATGTGCCTGAAAAAAGAGGGAGTCCAGACTACTGAGCCCCGTTTTAATGAGAGAAACGTTGTTTCCTTTATGTCCAGTCTCTAGAAAACTGTGTGGGACCCTGATGACTAATCAAAGTTCTTAGGTCCACTGCCAATATGTATATATTTTAATTTCATCAGTAGCTATCAAGTCTGGATTTTATGGAAACACATGTATAAAATTTGTAAGTAACATTTTAACATCTAACAAAATCACAAAAATTACTTTGTAAAACACTATCCTTGGAGTTAGCTTACTATCTCTCTTTATGATGTAAAAGCTGTTAAATTCAAATTTCTTTTAAAAGGTACCAATTTAAATACAGCATTTGAGATCTACCAATACCTAATACTCAAGGAGATGCTCAATGGAGATATCTTTATTAATAATCATTCATCCTTCTATAGTTCACCGTGCTCGGTAAAATTATCGTCTACAGAGTCTCCTCCATTCTAGAAAGTTCAGAAGCCATTCTAAATGCTTCTCTCTAGTGGCGCCTGGGTGGCTCAGTTGGTTAAGCATCTGACTTCGGCTCAGGTCATGATCTCACGGTCCGTGAGTTCAAGCCCTGCGTCGCCCTCTGTGCTGACAGCTCAGAGCCTGGAGCCTGCTTCGGATTCTGAGTCTCCCTCTCTCTCTGCCCCTCCCCTACTCACACTCTGTCTCCCTCTCCCTCAAAATAAATAAACATTAAAAAAATTTTTTTTTTAAATCTCAACGCTTCTCTCTCAAAATGCAGTATCTAACACCAAATCACTGCCAGGTTTGCCAACACGTCCTTGGCTTCAACCCAACACACAAGGAGTTTTTCTTTAGCAAACGCTTAAAATAGAAAAGAACAAAAATTTTATCAGGTGTCAAAGGAACCTTCAAAAAGGATGAAAAAGGAATCAGAAGTATGATGGAGTAGCTGGAATGTCACTGCCTGTGCAGAAAGTTCCAGCAATTAGGTGTGGAACAGTTACCACGCCTAGAACACAACAAATGCTTTCTGATTAAAACATAAAGGCCAAAAAGGTCAAAAGCAAAGTTTAAAAAGGGCCTCTCATTTCAAGGACTACGACAAAGGACTTCACCAATAAAACTGTTTTTTCCTAAAATGACTGAAACAGAAACTGACAAAAATAACTTTGGAACTGAACTATGGCTGCTTATTAAAAAGTAAAAAGCAATGTGAATAATCTTTCCTCGGTAGGGTCTGCAACTGTGGGTGACAGAAATCCCTGAAATGCAAATGACTGCCATGCCCATTTGACAGCTCAGGAGACAGACTCTCTGCATACAGAACAGCTGTGCTCCTTGACCTCTAGGTGCAACCAGGCCACAGGACAACAAAGGCCAGGCCTCAGGTTTTCCGGAACTCTGAATATCACAACACAGTCAGAAAATAACACAAGTTGTGAATTATAGATTTGTGTTCAAATCTCAACAATATATGTGTGACCCTGGCCACACAAGTTCCATTTCCTCAATCTTATGTAGGGAAATCATATAATCTATCAGAATTAGAATAAGCAAAAGAAATCCTATGTGGAACACTCAGCTTTATTCTTTTAAGCACTTAACTTTAAGCAAAAAGCTTTCAACAAGTAGTTCCTACTATTTTTCTTGCACACTCTGCTAGAACTACTTTGAAAACGTAGCAGCAATTACTTCTGTCTTCCAAATCCACGATTATTTGGCAGCCATTTAAACATAAAGATCATCATACAAATAAGTACTGACTATCCACAAAGAGTAAGCTATGAGGCTTATTAATAGGGATTACCCATTATGTCAACAAATTATCTGTTAAATTCCCTTACATATCCTGGTACAAGAATTGTACCTTTGCAAAGAAAATCGTGCGTCAGCTTCCAAAAATTTATCTTACGGTAAAATGACTGATCTTACTGGAAAATGATGAATTGGCTAGAATTTTAAGATCTGAGTTTTTCTGTAACTTTACGGAATCTAAAATATTAAATACATACTCTCTTAGTGAGACTAGTAAAAACCATTCTTGTTTGCATCGTATCACATATGGTGTTTTGCCTCAAAAGACGGCTTTGACAATGTGTATCAAAGCCTAACTGTTCATTTTATTTGCACAGGAAAAAAAAAAAAAAAACTCCATTTCTAGGAATTTACTCCATGGAAATAATCAGACACTTATACAAAGGATATCAGTCCATCTTTTTTATAACATCAAAGTACTGCTAAGCTAAATATCAAATAATAGTAATAAACTGGCGAAAACATGGGACGCCTGGGTGGCTCAGTTGGTTAAGCGTCCGACTTTGGCTCAGGTCATGATCTCACAATCTGTGAGTTCGAGCCCCGCGTTGGGCTCTGTGCTGACAGCTCAGAGCCTGGAGCCTGTTTCAGATTCTGTGTCTCCCTCTCTCTCTGGCCCTCCCCTGTTCATGCTCTGTGTCCCTCTGTCTCAAAAATAAATAAAAACGTTAAACTGGTGAGAACAAAAGACTGGAATACTCTGAGACATTTAAATATAGCTAGCAAATATTTCTAAAAAGCATTAAATAATATGGAAAAGTGTAAAAACTCAAAACTGTGTGGAGAGCATAACCCTGACTTTATCAGAAGTTAAATAATAAAACTAGAATGACAAATACCAAACATTAATATTGTTTTTTTCCTCACAAGAAGCATTTTTTTCTTCGAGTTTTCTAATTTACCACAATTTTCAGCAATAAACAGGTGTTTTTCTAGTAAGCAGGAGAAAATGGCCTATTCAAAACGAAAGGGCATACTCAGTTTCTTTCCCAACTCATTAAAAAGCTCTTCTTACTCTGAGTTAAAAGGTACAATAGGGTCACAGATTTCTATCCAATTCAGCTGGTGTTCTCAACAGGCAGTCCGGAGAACGAGCACGTCCCCTTTGGTGGCAAGCTGCCCGCGGGCAGGCAGAAGAACTCTGAGAATGGCGTCTAGAAGCAGACTCCGTGTGGCGGAAAGCAGTACTCGCTTTGCCACTTGCTAAGCGCGGACCCTCAACCGCACGATTCTCTACAGTCTGTTCGTGCCCAATCTCATGATCTTACCTAGTCACACAGGCCAAGAACCTGCGAATACAAGGCATTCGGTGAGCCCTGCTGAGTCTGAGCCTGAACCCAGGTAACATGCACAGGAGGGCACTCACCCATTCACAGCATTTCTCTAGCAGGAGTATCATTACATGTTAATGATAGCCAAGGACTCAAATGCACACTTAGATGGGTAAATTCTCTCTACGCTTACCTGCTGCTGTCCTTGCTGAGCCTGTGGGGTAGTCTGCTGATTTGCAGAATTAGTTGCAGCCGCGGCAGCAGCCGCTTGCTGCTGGAAAAGACTGGCAGGGTAGACTCCCCAGGGAGTGACTCCATAATACTGGTGAGGGACCACAGCCGGGCCTAAAAATATCAAGAGAAAGGTAAGGAAGTTCAGACCAGTCAGAATCCACTCAGGGTTTCCAAACGCCAAGTCAGACTCAACAGATCCTACCGTAAAATATTAAGAATATATGGATTCAGGGGCACCTGGGTGGCTCAGCCGGTTAAGCATCCAACTTCGGCTCAGGTCATGATCTCATGGTTCATGAGTTCGAGCCCCACAATGGGTTCTGTGCTCAGAGCCTGAAGCCTGCTTCGGATTCCGTCTCTTTCCCTCTCTCTCTCTCTCTCTCTCTCTCTCTGCCCCTCCCCCACTCACGCTCTGTCTCCCTCTCTCAAAAAATAAACGTTAAAAAAAATTAAAAGAAAAAAAACATACAGATTCATTCTAGCTGATCGTGGATTGTTTTTTAAAAAACAGAAAATGTTTTTATATTTTTATAAAAGTCTTCTAAAGCCTGTAATATACTCCAGGCCAAGAGGAAGAAGCTAATGAAGGACAAAACATTTTAAAAAGGGAGAATAACTGATCAAAGTCAGAAAGGTTGGGTTTAAGAACAGAGGAACTGGTGCTGGGTCAGGAAGAAGACAAAAAGGCCTATGCTTCCCTGAGAAAGAAAGGACACGGGATAGACAGAGACAAAGTTTGTTATTTGAAGGGAAATAAATGGAGAGTCTGTGTGCATCAAGTGAAGGAAGAGAACAAAAAATTAAGGGTACCCTGCTCTCAATGGTAAGGATGGCACCCAAGGTGACAGCCAGGGACAGGGGCCACGCTGCTCCATTAACTCCCGAGGCAGGAAAATCCACCAGTCTCTGACAACGTGACCCAGACACGCCACTGAACCTCCACCGCTCAATTTCTAAGAGGCTTGGTTCTCCCATTCCTGTTTTGGAAGTCAGTCAACACAACTACATTCAGACACTGACATATGAAATTTTGAACCTAAGTCACCGTTGAAAAGAAACAGAAACAAAACCTTGAGTTCTTACAGACCTGCTGAGTATCCTAAACAAAACTAAGCATTCTGCTTCAATCTAAATGATCTGTTCACCTTCTCTGGGGGAGGCAACAGAGGTAACAGAGCTAGCAGACAGCAGCCTGGGTGGGGCAGGTGTCTAAACCACAGACTCCCCGAAGATGGCAGCAAGAAACACCAAAGCTGCATTGTGCCAACAAGACAAGGGCTCGGAGCCAGCTTCTCACATCTGCTGAAACACATCTCCAGTGAGAAGTTTCTTAAAGCACAGAACTTAAAATACTTGCAACCTGACTGAATAACAACAGTGCCTTTAGACAGAGTTCCAAAGAGCTATTTCAAATGTATCCATTCTGACACAGTAGCTAATCCTGTAGAAACATATATTTCATTAAATCAAAATAAATTGGAACGTGTGTTTTGTTTCCCAGTTTTAAGCTTCTAAAATACAAATAAGTCAAATTACATCCCTGCCCAACACTGCTTTGACATTTCTAATTTGGCATTTTCTGTACCTGTGGGCTTAGCCAAAAAGCAGCTCTGTTTATAAGGCTGCCCACTGTGAAATATGACATCTGGGCGCAAAATAAAGATGCTGCTGCTTAGAAAAGCTAGGTTACAGTATGAGCAACTTTTTTATAATAAGCAAAAGGGTAATAAAAACCTTTTAACGCCTCAGAACCTGCATAGTCTGAAACACCATACCCAAACTCATCTGACTAGCGTTTACAAAATGGGGTGGTCTTGCACATTTACCGAAAAGAACGAAAGAGAAAACAACAGCGAGACCTTACCTATGCCTTAGTTTCCTCACCTACGAATGGCTATCATAAGGGTGAGGGTGTTGCCACATCCATGGCGAAAGGCTGGACTGCAACCTGCGATGACAGTCTCCACCAAAAGTCAACAAAACCACCTTCAGCTGTGCGCAAACTGCTGCTACCATCAACTTTCATATGATCCTCTAAGTTCTCTCAACTAGCATTTCTACTGCTGCCCCTGGTCACATGGCCTCTGACTGCATTTAGGAAAATACCCCCAGGGTGCATCATCAATTGAGCTGGGCTCATCAGGATGCCTGCTCCAATTCCCGTGTGACGAACACCACCCCACACGCGGATGCAGTTTCATAGTTTAGGTGGTTAACATTTCTGGTTCTGTGTGAAAGAGCTCAAGTATTTTTCAGTCTGGCTTAGGGATGACTACAACGATCAAGACCCTCATCACAAAACTATGATCTCAGTGAGGCCAAGCATGTCTTCCCTAAAACTAGTTCTTAGTTTCAAATAACATATAGTAAATTAGCAAAGGAAAGAAAGTACAGAGAAAGCAATTCAAGATAGCATGGGCACTGGACACGACAGTAAAGTGCATGCATGGATTCTGAGTTAGGCCTGCTTCAAACCCCAACTGTGTGATATTTAAATAGTGTGACCTTTGAAAAAGGGAGCTCTCTGAGCCCTAAATTCCTAATCTGTAAAATCATCCTCCAACAACTCGTATGAAACAAAAGCGCTCAGCACAATGTCTGGCGAACGGTTAATAAGGGCTGAATAAAAATTAATGATGGTTACGTAGATCGTTCTGCTAGAAAGACACTTGTACTGCCCCAAAGGTGAGGGGGACAGAGGAACTATACTACATACATATCCATCAAAACACATGCTATTTGCAACAACATGGATGGCACTGGAGGGTATTACGCTAAGTGAAGTAAGTTGGTCACAGAAAGACAGATATCACACATTTTCACTCATGTGTGGAATTTGAGAAACTTAACAGAAGACCATAGGGGAAGGGAAGGAAAAGTAAGTTACACACAGAGAGGGAGGCAAACCATGAGAGACTCCTAAGTACAGAGAACAAACTGAGGGGGGACGGTGGTGGGAGCTTGGGGGGGTGAGGAAAAGGGGCGATGGCATCGCAGAGGGCACTTGTTGAGATGAACAGTGGGTGTTGTGTGGAGATGATGAATCACGGGACTCTACTCCCGAAGCCGAGACTACACTGTGTGTTAGCTAACTTGACAATAAATGATAAAAATAAAAAAGAAAATAAAATCAAGATTTGCTCCTGTCTTTCAAACACAACAAAACCACGCTAAAATGTGAATACTAAAAAAAATAAATAAATTCTATACTGTCCATTTGAGTTCATAATGGCAAACTGCATGCTAGATAAAAAGTAGAATCTTACAATAATATTTAGTCACAATTAACATGACTTGGAGGGATTTGGAAGACGTTTACTTCGTCCTGACACTGAATCCAATCTACCATACACGTGTGACCCCATTATGGTGCCAGCAACTGTGCTACAGAGATAAGTAACAGAAAGGCCTGCTTTTGAAAGAGTTCAATCTTAAGGGGGTTTTAAAACCACTCACTCAAACATCCACCAGCAATGAACACAAAGTAATAAGAAGTAACAGAGAAAAAAATGGGGGAGGGGGTGGTAGCAAAGGAAGGCTTTCTAGGGGGTAACAATGCCAGCCAATGAGATTCCCAAAGAATGGGAGGAGTTTACTATAGAGGACTAAGGAAACCACAGTAGGCAAAGACACAGAGACCTAAACCAGCGTGGTGTCTGCAGCAAGCTAAAATTCATTTAGTACAGCGAGAATGTGTGGTATGAGCCAGTAAGAGCTGATCCGGAGAGGGGAAGAAAGTGGTATGCGTGTAGAGATATCTACACACAAGTCATGGCGAGAGAGATCAGATCCCTATACACAGTGGGCTCCAGTCTTCACTAATCCTCAGAATGCCGTGGCAGCTCCTTAAAAATGGTGATTCCAAGGAATAGCACACCACCACCACCACCACCCAGTTAGGCTGGAATAATCAGCCATGTTTAACAGCTGAGGTGTGCTGTTAGGCTGGATAAGACGGAAATCGGTGACGGGTTGCTTAAAGATAATACAGCACGAGAAAAAGAAAAATCAAATCAGTGATGGGTTAAAACTGAAAGGTGAGAAGTTAAAATCGATGTTTAAGATAGTTTTCTAGAACAATCAGGGGGGTGGGGGTGGGAGAGGACATTAGCAATATGTAAGAACAGCTGCTAAAGTCTAGATAAAGAGTATAAGGACCTGGACTATGGCAGACTACAGGTAGTAGGAAGACCTAGGAAAGGGGAGAAATTCCCAAAATACCTACAAGCAAGTGGTGTCTCCATGGATCACAAATGCCTATACAGGAGGCAGCTCATTAACTTGCCTTTGGATTATGCTCGAGTCTGAGGTTACAGCTAAGGAGAGCTATCCAGCTGGCAGGGAAAGAACACCGGAAACCAGGAGAGAAATCTCCACCGGAGACTTGGATTTGGGACCCAGTACAAAGAATGCATGCGGGCCAACACGACTTTTCAGCAGGGGATAAAATCCCACATGCAGCAGAACACCTCACCTAGTGTCGCCGCTGCAGCCAGTCCAGCCGTGTAGGGGTCCGTCCCCGGGGGAGCAGCGCTGATGATGTAGGGATTGGGGACAAACGCAGCGGGCGCTAAACCTGCTGAAAACACACCTGTCAGTAAAAACAAACCCGACTAAAACCGCAACCCTAGCAAATACCCACACAGTTTGGCTACTCAACTCCAGGCTGCAGGTGAGAAAAAGAAAAAAGGACAGATTGAAAGGAAAGAGGGCTCTGAAAAGATGAAATAATCCCTACCCTAAAGATTAGGGTGATGTTTATCTACCGTCTTTTTTTATTTTTATTTTTTACTTTTGCTAACAATTTAAACTGTTACGCAGTTGTAAATCCAGCACAATTTCTCAGACTATTAAAATTATAACAGGCTAAAATAAAGCAATTTAAAAGACTTTGTCATGAGATAGAAGGAATCATTTATTTCCATTTAAAACAATTTTCCAGGGGCCCCTGGGTGGCTCAGTTGGTTGAGTGTCTGACTTCAGCTCAGGTCATGATCTTCCAGTCGGGCTCACTGCTGTCGGCATAGAGCCTGCCCCTCCCCCACTCACGCTCTCGCTTGCTTGCTCTCTCTCAAAAATAAAGAAACGCTTATAAATAGATAGATAGATAGATAGATAGATAGATAGATAGATAGATAGAGGCATCTGGGTGGCTCAGTCAGTTAAGCGTCTGACTCTTGGATTTTGGTTCTGGTCATGATCTCAAGGTTTGTGACTTTGAGACCCACATCAGGCTCTGTGCTAATAGTATGGATGG